TTTACACATGTTTTTACCCCTACTCTTACTCCGTTTGAGGTATTGATTCTCGTGTTTTAGGCCGATTTCACGCTAGGTTGTGCTTGTTTATGATATTTCAGGTCCTAGTACGTGAATGGAGGCTTGGGAGCGAGCTTGAGGTCGATTGGACAAGGATCGGACGCATGACGAGGTTCTGAGGAAGTCGCACGGGCACATCCACAACCCGCACGGCCGTGCAAGTGACCAGTTTGGCCGTGCGGGATTGTGCGTGGGCACGCACGGGATTGTGCGTGGGCACGCACGGCCGTGCAAGTGACCAGTTTGGCCGTGCGGGATTGTGCGTGGGCACGCACGGGCACAAGTGAAATCCGCACAGCCGTGCAAGGTGCAATCCTGGCCGTGCGAGTTGGCTGAGGTTCGACTTAATGATACGGCGCGTTTTGAGTTGCACGGCCAGAATGGTGATGTGCACGGTCGTGCACCCTGGCCGTGCAAGTCGGGAAACCATGTTTTAGAGCCTATTCCGAGCCAGAAGTGGGGGAATCGTGTTTTGAGAGCAAAAACAGAGCCCTAGAGAGAGAAAGTGCGAAGAACACACCCTAGAAGCTATCTTAGAGCTGGATTTCATCGAATCGAGCTTGGAGATCGTCATAGGAGTGAAAATCATCGTCCCGGAGCAGATTATCCTCATCGTTATGAGTATGACTAATCCGATTCTTGTTTTCTCTTCTCTCTCTATGGAGTAGAACCCTTCTCTCACTTGGGTATGAAGAACCCTAGTTCCTTGTGTTAGGGATTTGATTGTAATGACTTGGGATGATATTACTGTTTGATTTTAATCGAATGATGCATGTTTATTGAATTGATTTGAGTCTGATCAGCTTTTCTCAATTTCTGCTGCAACCTGAGATAGATAGAATCTGATTAGGTTGTTAGAGCCTCTTCATTCGATAGTAGGAGATTGGCTATACGAGAGTCAGCCAGTTTACTGCTTTGTACTGGTGTTCTTGGCGCCAGTAGTGGAGTTCTGTGTTCATAGCCTCAGCTTTCTATCCCGGTGAAGACTAGTCGTCTGCCGGGTAGTTAGACTGAGAGGGCTTGGTCAGCTTAAGAGATTCCAAGCTACTGTCGGATCTTCCGCAGTCTAATCAACAGTAAATCAACCCAGGGAATTGCAATTGAACCTAACTAAGGGGCTAGGGGGACTCAATCCCGAGTGACTCTTGCCTGCTTTAGAAACCGAACAATTTACTGCTTTCTTGTTGCTTTTACTTTTCACAACAATCATTCAAACTAGTTTGCTAGATAATAGAGAATCACGGAGTAAGCAGTAGATCTAGACCCCGGGTTGATAATTAAACTTGCCTGTTACTGCAGTCCCTTTCATTCGTTACACTTGGCCATTGTTAGGTGTTGTGTTTTAGCGTGTCAGCAACCCGTTTAAAGATCTGGACGCCTGATATGATCACAGAGCTCCAAACAGCTTTCACCGGAGGCCGGCTTATCCAAGACAATGTCATTATTGTCCACGAGGCCCTCCATCATTTCAAAAACCACAAGCGGGGAAGGAGAAGGGACATGATGCTCAAGTTGGACATGAAGAAGGCGTATGATATGGTGGACTGGATTGTCTCGAAACTTTGCTGAAGAACTATGGGTTTGATGACAGATGGTATAGATGGGTAAGCTCTTGCATCAGGACGGTCAACTTCTCCATCCTCTTAATGGTGAAGCAGCAGAGGAGTTCAAACCGTCAAGGGGAATCAGACAGGGAGACCCACTCTCTCCTTCCTTTTCATTTTGATGTCTAATGCTCTTACCTTTCTGATTGATAAAGCGGTTTCCCAGAACCAGTTAAAAGAAATAAGGTTGAACGAGAGATGCCTGATTCTCACACACTGCCTGTTTTCAGATGATACATTGATCTTCGGAAAGGATGATCATCAAGAAGCGGAGAAAATATTGGACCTTATAAGAGAGTATGGAGCCATCACGGGACAAGAAGTGAATATCAACAAATCATCTGTGTTCTTCAGTGCGAATGTACCCGATGTGGACAAAGCTGCGATCATTGGCCAAATCGAGGTTGCCTCTTCTAACTGCCACACCAAGTACTTAGGAGTATCGACGGAATGGGGGAATTCGAAAAAGGAAACTTTCCAATTCCTGATTCAGAGAATGGAGAAGATGGGTGAAGCATGGAAAAGCCTCCTCCTTTCTCATGGAGGGAAAGAAGTGTTGCTCAAAGTTGTCATTCAAGCTATTCCTTCCTACATCATGTACCTTTTTAACCTCCCGGTGAACCTGACAAAGAAGATGGACTCCCTCTTCACCAACTTTTTCTGGTCAGGGTCAATGCAGAAAAGCACAATGCACTAGTGTAGGAAGGAAATTCTTTGTGCTTCAAAAGCAGAAGGGGGACTGGGTTTCCGAAGTTTCGAAGATTTTAACATGGCCTTGTTAGCAAAACAAGCGTGGAGAATCCTTAATTCCCCTGATGCCTTGTGGTGTCGGCTCCTGAAGGGTCTGTACTTCCCGAGAGGAGGATTCCTGCAATCGAAAAAAGGAAGTAAATCCTCTTGGATTTGGGCTAGTCTGTGGGAGGCTAAAAAGGTTATCAACATGGGAGCAATTAGAGTCATCGGTTCAGGAGAGGATACTTGAATTGGTCAAGATCCATGGATTCCGAACCTTCAAAATTTTGTCATCGGAAGCGGCCCCCAGCAGAACCTGAGGGTAAAGGAATGGATTGACCCTGTTTGTAGGAACTGGAACACGGATATGCTTCAAGGTCATGTGACGAGAGAAGAAGTAGAGGCTATTCTTACGGGTCGTTTGCTTCATTGATTTGAAAAATGAGGGTTTTGGTAAAACTTGGGTTTTGGAAAACCATGGATATATGATGGATTTGGTGGCATTATGGATTTGACCAAGTCTATTGTTTGCTTGTTGGATTTGATTATAGATTTTGTTTGAATAGATTTGTGGATATGAAATTCAAATTACCTTGTTACCCTTATCTTATCTAATTATATTTCTATATTATAATCCATAAATTTCATTAAAAAAATCCAACGCATACAATGAAATTTTAAACTCTTTACCACTATGTGGACTAATAATTCAACTACAAATATAGAAATGTATTATAGTTTGGCACTAATTAACAACTCATCTAATAATGTACGCAATATTATGTATCAATTGCAACCAATTGCTCGCTTTATTGCTACAACTCATCAACTTCTTGCTAACTCCCCGATTTTGGAATCCGACAATCAATCAAATAATAATGCACAAGACGAGCATAAAATGTTTATAGTTGAATCTAACAAATCACATATACATTCATATTTAAATAAACTATGATATTACAAAACGAAATGAAAAATTCTCATATATATAACATACGACATTATAAAAGTTTATAATTGCATGACCATTGAATTAAAGTAGGACAACTTTGTAATTAAACTAATACGTAAGGGTAGAAAGGTAATTTCCCATCATGGATTTTAATCCATCACCCAAATCCCACCTCAAGATGTGGAACTTCCAAGTCCGTGGGGTCCACGGATTTGGAACCCCAAAAGTGGCAGGACCCACAAATTCCATCTCCCTAATTCCCTAAGGCAAACGATGGATTTCTGTTAAAGTCCATGATGGATAGAATTCCATCACCAAATCCATCACCAAAACCCTCAAGCAAACGACCCGTTAAAGTCCCAATTGGGGAGGAGGGATCTGATGATTTCTGGGCTTGGAGTCTCACCCGCGAGGGAGAGTTCTCGGTCAAGACAGCCTACCACACTGTACATAACGCCAATACAAATTTCCATTCGACAGGTAGTGAAGAGAAGTGGAAATGGATTTGGGGATTGAATATCCCACCTAAGCTTAAATTCTTTATATGGAGATGTTCCAGAAACGGGTTGGCAACGAAAGCAAGACTCTTCCAACGCAAATGTGCTCCTAACCCGAATTGCCAAGTGTGTCATAACCCTATCGAGTCCCTTAACCATTGTCTTTTCTACTGCCCTCATGCCAGTGACGCTCAGACTAGCACTTTCCCATCCCTTCTAATTCCTCCTCAGGGCACCTCTTTCTTTGATCGGTTCTGCTCCCTAAGATGCAATCCCTCAAAACTCCCTGATTCATATTATCTACCTTTGTTGGAACATTTGGAAGGCAAGAAACGAGAGCACTTTCAAGAATCGAGTACCCTGGCCCCCAAACGTGTGTCTTCAAACCTATAGAGAGCTTACGGAATGGATTGCTTGCCCGAAGCCCCCACCTCAAGGTTCAGATGGTCCCACTCAGCTCAGGGGATCCCATCCTACTACGAATCCACCGCCAAGTAATCACTCGATAGTGATTCACTGTGATGGGTCGTTCTTTAGCGACCCCCAGTCGGCGGCATATGGTGTTGTTGTCGTTAACCACCATGGACAAGTGTGTGATGGGAGAGCTGAAAATCTTCTTTGTTCCACCCCGATTGAAGCGGAAGCAAAGACTCTTTTAGAAGGAATTAAATTAGCACAAGAATATGGATCGGTGTGTACAGTACAATATGACTGTCAAATGCTGGTGAATGCCCTGAATCATAATCAGTCTCGATGGCCCTGGAGATGTGCAGCCTGGATTAGAACAATGGTCAATATCCTTAGGACTAACCCAGCAATTTCGGTGAAAGAGGTTCCGAGGGCTTTGAACGTCAGAGCTGATTGGGTTGCACGATCAAAAGGTAAATCTATTCTACCAAAAAACTGGATTAATATTCTTGATCTAATTTTTGTTCTCCTCTATTGTAATAGCTTTTAGCGTGTCTCTTTCGTACCGTGGAATAAAAGTTGATATTATCTATAAAAAAAAATAGACGGAGGTTCCCGCGGAGTTGCAGCCAACGCCGAGAATCAGTGGCTGCTTTGTTGCCTATTGCCTAATAAGTAATAACCATTCCCTCCACTGCGCAATGCCAATCAACTAACATCCAATACTTCGTTTCAATAATAAAAATACATTTCTATTCGTGACCGCCACGTGTCCACTATCGGGATAGATGTAATGGAAAGCTAAAGCCTCCCCCTTATAATAGAAGCTGCCGTTCAGCAGCTACCAAAAAGGAGGCGGAGAACAAAATAAGCGGAGAAAGAAAAACCGAGAATGGCGTCGCTCTGTGCTGTAGCGCGACTGCGGCTTCCTCCGCCTTCACATCATCACAAGTTTCCTAGTCGGCGGCTGAGTCAGAATCGCCACCATCAGCAGCAGAAGGAGGTTGTCTATCCTCTCCTTGCCACATTCGATTCCCCCCAATCGGTCATCTTTCCCAGGTCCGATTCCTCTTCCACCGGTGCCTCTCTGTTGTTGATTAATTGCTTCCTCTGTGTGTAACCATTCTCAGTTAATTATGGGTTCAGGTCCAAATGCGTCATGGGACTGCAACGGAGGCGGCGAAATGGGTCCGCCGTCGTGTGGGCGTCTCCATCCTCCAACTCCGATCCGGCACCGACGACGAAGGACGCTAAAGAGGAAGGCGGCGGGCAGGGTCCTCCATTGCTCACAATTCTAGCTGGGTTTTTGGTGTTCTTAGGGTTTTGTTGGGTAGTAGTTACTATTGGTACATGGTTGTTCAACCTCATTGCCTTTCCCCCTCCTCCGAAATAGGCATTAGCCGTCTTCTCAACTTTGTTGCAGCTCTCTGGTTTCTGCTTTTTTGTTGATGTCTAAAGTTAATGTTAAGGAAATGGAGCTACCATGCCATTCCATGGCTTTCTCCTTTCTAGTTGGATTGCATTCTTGTGCATTGGGTGCACCCCACAAGACATTTAACCCCAAGCCAAAATCTTTGGCGTCATAGTATAATAGTAAAAGAGTCTTGAACTTTGACCATAATAAACGAGGAAGTTCTGAATCAGGTTCACTCTCTTGTAATTTCAATCCGACATTATAGTATATGATTCGAGTTCGACCCGTCTAAGCAATGATTGATACAGAATGAGTAGATGATTAGCAAGAAGGAAGCAGTTGTTGTACATTGGGAAGGAAGAATCAATTGGAATTCGAGTTGGGATGAGTGTTGGAACTTTCTTTAAGAGCATGATCATGGTCTTCTCCACTTCCTGCAGGTGACGACGAAGATCCCCCAGTGAAGTTCTTTCTCTCATCGGCGCTTGCTGTGATGACGGGCATCCATACATCTGCAGTGCCGCTCAATAACGACAGCACTTGTGGGTCGGAAGCCATTGCCGACGAGATCATCTCATCCACATTGTCCAACTTCTCTGATAACTTATCCAACTCCCTCGCTATTTCTAACTGCGCATAAATCACGATGAATCAATGATGAATTACTACACCAACAGGTCATGATTAGGATGAGCAAACAAGTAAAGCAAGTCACAGACAATGGAGGAAAGAGTAAAACACATCAACTTACCTCATCAAGAGTTCTGGTGGACTTTGATGGGACTTTTGTAACCTCTAGTCCTAAAGCTTCAATCTTTGATCTCAATTCCACCTCTTCTTCATTGGTGAGTGCTTCAACCTACACCACCAACAAGAAGAATTCAGCTTAGAGCGGCATTTACAGGAATCCCCAACTTTCACAATGCTAGATGCACTCAGTCATCCTTCACGAAATCGGTTTAGATCGAGGGTAAGCCTAGCAATCAGTGATATGCTTCATTTTTTCCAAGTTTTTTTTTTCCTTTTTCCAGGAATCAACTAATGAGATAGTTGAATCATGAGAACTTCAGCATTAAGATATCAAGAAGCCAAAAGCTGAGCGAGTAACAGATTCGAGGTTAAAAGAAGATAAGAGAATGTTCAGGCCAAGGCATTCACAATTAAGGAGTAAGGAATCCCTTCTGTTCTCCTCCTCGCCATAGGTTATAATCAATCAAACTACCAATTCAGATGCACTGCATCGATTCAATTCCTCAAGAACCCTACAGAATTTAGGACCGAATAGGATAAGAAACGAACTAAGGAAATCCGAGAGATCCGGATGATAGTAGACTTCGCAACTTTAGGAGCGGGAATTGTGATGACTCAACAGCAATTTGTTGCCAACCACCGCCGGCGAACAAGATCGAGCAGTCGTTAAAGGGAACATATAGAAAAGCTTACTTGCTGAAGAAGACCGGAGAGGAGCTGGAAGAGCTGTGCATCGGCTTTACCACCTCCGTCCGCCATTCCAATTCCCCCTTCTGGTGAATTGCACCCCCTTTTGGTGAAGATCCTTCTCCCAGTTTTTCCGTTTATTGCTTTGTAATTTTATGTCGGAGAGGAAGCGGGCTGGGCTGGGCTGGATGGGCCAAAAGCCCGAAACCGTTTGACATACACTTCCGGCTTAGTATCGGAAGGAGATGGAATGGGTTACTGCAACTGATTGCTTTCCGTTGGCAGACATCTTCACAGCTTTCATTACCCTGTTTCGCGTTCAACATTTCAATCTTTGTGCAATGGCGAGTGAATGGGGATGCCTTGATGGTCATTCGCCAATCGCCACCAGCTTCAGAACTCTATCACTCGCGAGTCGCGATGCTATCGGTGGTACAATCCTCCGCAATTGTGTTCATTTGGTGTTCATTTGCCAGTGGGAGAAAAGCATTTAGCACGATTCCTTGGGTCGTCAATCAATTACGCTAGTCGATTGATGATTCAGAATTAGGAAAAGAAACCAGGTCTGGTCATGGGACCTTGAACCATCCCTGCTAACAGTAACGTTTGCCGTAAAACTAGTGCAAGAACAAGTGTTTGCTCTGCGTTAGCCGTAAAATTACCGTCTTAAGGGCTGACAGACATGCATGTGTGTTATGCCATCAACGGGTCTCTCGGCATCCGATTCCGACCTGATCATCGCCAACTGACTCAACCATAATACAATGGGGCTACAACTCTAAACAACACAGTGCAATTGACCCTCCCCATCCCCAGTCTACTCTACTAATTTACAATTGACATAGCCAAATCACATGACCACTAATTCTGCTTTACCAATAAAGAAAATTGTGTTTTTAACTTACCAAACAGGCTACAAATCACCCATGTACAAAATAAGAACGTCATTACACTATGGTACAACACCCTAATCCCCGCCACGACCAGCCTTTTGCCACTCTCGATCGATACCAAGGGATTCGCAAGCTTGTAAGGGAATTGTTAGTCTTCAACTACGGCTTATCTGGTTGTGAAGACAGCTCTTTATCAGCAAAATGCAGCAGTCTCCTGAGTCTCAGAACCATGTCACAGTGTTGCGGAAGTGCAGAGCGTCTCTCCAAGTATGCAGGGCTGACCGTCATCCATGACAAGGCATGAAGCTCGGCTGCAACGGACCCGAGAATCACGTTGGACTCCGCCCCATTATCCCTCACTCCTTGCTTCATGGTGGCCCTATCTCCACCGTAGGAGTCGATGAGGCTCACTGAGAGGACTGAAGGCCACTCGTCCCTCGAGTTGCTCCTGATGTCTTTCCTCACGGAAGGCACGGCTTTCGAGACGACGAAGCCGGTCGAGAGCGGGATAGCGTAGCCCTTGCTGTGGAGGAGATGAGCTAATGGTGGGGATTCTGCCGTGAGACATGTGGGAAGCTGGAGTGGGGTTGAAGGGAGGAAACGCATGCTGGGTGCTGGAATTAGGAGGTAAGCTGCTGAGGCAGAGCTTGGAGGCTTCACTGGAGTAAAACCTTCTACATATCCTGATCCTGGTGGTGTGCTGCTACTGTTAACACCTTGAGTTGTCCCTCCTACAACGAATCACATATTATCATTATTTGTCAACATAAATGGCCAGTGAACTCTCTCACATGGCATTCGGTCAGACAAAAAGCTTACCAGAGGAAGATGAATCTGCTTGACAAAGAAGATGCAAGGAATGATCGATGGAGACTGCGACAAAAGTGATGCTCTGGACCCACTGGAGGATCCCCCTAGAGCTATCAACTGTTGTATGCCCTCCGCCCATAAGCTGCTTTCTCCCTGAAGATTGTCCCAAATTATTACCTTTCATGAAGCTAGAAGCCTTAGAATATAGCGGGCTGGGGGATGAAGGTAAGGTTCTCTCTTGAATCAAGCTCATATCCTGCTGCTGTTGCTGCTGCAAGGAAGATCCATTGTTGCTTCCAGGCATTCCGTCAGGCATTGAACGTCGGAGTTGCACAGGCCATTTCTTCACCTCTGCTCCCCCAACAGAATAAATGGCCTTCTGCCACTCTGTTTAATCCCATCATAACAGAATGCAAAATGGAAAGAGTGGGATAGTGACTGTTAATCTTCATTAAAGATAAAAAAAAAAAAAAAGAAATGGACATTAAACTAACTCAACAATTAGCAGAGGAGTGTGTCACATCATGCATAGCTAAGCTATTGTGTTAATTAGCACTCATCAATCCACACAAAATATGCTACAGAATTTTTTTCCCCATAAACACAACACAAGCAACAGGAGTCACGTGAAAAGAGAAGCACGACGATTAACATACCTAAGTACTCGAGCTCAAAGAAATTTCCAATTCGAGAAATGATAAAATCTCGAGGCTTCACAGTAAAATCAGGAGAAGAACAGGCCTGCAGTAATTGACACCCTTGTTGCAGAACTTGCGCAAAAAGGCATTGCAAACCTTTTGTATCCTGTCGACTACTAATTCCACCAAAAGGGAATATCTGGGTGTCGAGCAGTTCTCCCCTTGCATCTGTCCATATGCATACTAGCCAACGCCAATCCTCAGTCCACCCATAGCAGCAGTGGAGACTAGGAAGAAGAGCCTTCTGATAGTTAGACCCAAACCCATCTGACTGAGATCCATCATTTTGAGAGCCCGAACTAGCATCCCCACCACCATCATCAGATAACATTTTTGAAGAGTCGGAGGTTGCAGTGTTATGGAAGGAAGGTGAAACAGCATGTTCCAGAGAACCGGGTTCTGAAAGAATGAAGAGTGGTTCAAGCATGTAGCGAGTCCCATCTTGAAGTGAGAAAAAATCCCCATTTCGGTTGGTATCACAGTTCAATCCTCCAACAACCCTTGTTGTCTGCCAAGTGTTGTCCCAAGCTCCAGGTCTCAAGCTGGCATCAATATCAGCAGCCTCTCTAGGAAGTGGAGGGCCTCCAATTCGAGGACCGACACAGTCTTTCCACATTGACGGAATTGAAACTACAGGTGGTGTCATTGCTGAGTGAGACCTGCTAGATACCGATGATGACTGTACATCATAAGGAGATCCTTTAGAAAGTCTGCGTGCCTTGTTATAGACGGTGAATGCGGTCTCTTTAAGTATGGTGAGTTCACTAAGGACCGAACCAGTGACCTTAAAGATTGAATCAACTGTCACCACCTGCAATACCAATTTGGGGATACTGAATCCTGGGAGTACTAGAACATTTGATGCTGATGCTTCATCAACTGCCATCAAACAGCTTAATGCTTTTCCTATCTGACTCTGCAATATAGATCTCCTATCTCTATCCAATGGAAGAGCAACTGATCCAAGAGCAACACAAGATTCCACAACAGTTTGTAAAACTGCAATAGGTTCTGGGAATGGACAGACCACATAGATAACCTGGATAGGAAAAACAAATTTAAGTTTTAAGAAATAACATAACAGTAACATGCTACGGTCAAAGAAGCAAACTATCAGGCCTAGTCCTAAAAGGACAGAGCCCCAACATGAGACTACAGCTCATACAAAATTGAGTTGCATCATGCATGATAACTTCAGCTTGAACTTTCAACCAATTGCAGTGAGAAAATCTATTAGAATATGTGCAGGAATAAGTTCTAACCACAATGAAAAATTAAAAAGTAAAACACAGGGCTAGGTTTGAGTTATATCATGCAAACACAACAAAGAACATGACTACAGCAATTATTATGAAATGATGTCACGAGTAGCTAAAACAAGACATCGAAATGGATAACAAAAATTTCACACATAAAACATAAAATATGCTGCAATTACCGAGCAAGGACTGCTGTTTCCTTCTTTTGGGTGTGTTGGTAAGCTTGGACCAAGTTTCAAAGATTTAATAGCTTTGGAAAGAGACTTCAGATAACTAGTCAAGTCCCAACCATTGGAGAGGGAAAGGAAGTAGTCACTTATCGACCCCACAAGAGATGCATTGCTGCTTTCAATCTTCATCGACTGAGGGCAGTTGAGCAACACAAAGCCAGAAGCCAACCATTTCCCTCTGTCAATTTCCATCTGGTTTCCCAAATTCTGAGCTGAATGTGTCCCTAGCTTGCATGCTTCGTAAACTGGACAATAAGAAGCTCATAACAGGTGAATGTCTTGAAAGCATAGTGATTTGTCAAAAGTTACGCAATAAGAAGACTTCCTGAAATGTTCAAGCATTATGATAACACACGTAAAAGTATTGGAGATCGGAAATGAAACTCCAAAATCTTCTCGTTTAACAAGCCGCTTCACTCGAACCAGGGAAAACAGAAATATAAGAGCAAATGAAACTTCAACTAAAAGATCAAACAGTTTTCTCTTTCAAACTGGGAGCTCAAAGACTTGAAATGGAGCAGATATCTATTTCTTTTCCTTGGTCAACACACCTCAAACAAGTCCACATCTAACAGTCAAGTATCCAGGGGACGGGGTGGAAATGTTAGGTGGAACCACGAGGAGGAAGAAACTATAAAAAGGAAAGAGCTGCTCACCAGTTCCAAGTTGTTGGAAAAAATCAGCAGCAGCAGATGTAAGGGAATCAATGTCTGGACAGACAACATAATAAGTAATCTGCAATAGTACATGAACAGAATCAATGCTTGGTCATAGAATGTGAAGCAACCTGTGGAACACTTTAAGAGGTGAACATTATAAACCAGACAAGAACGCTGGACATATGGGGTGTCAACTGTCAAGTACATCCAACAATGCCGATGTTAAGAATCTTACAGGTTTTGGAGAAGCATATGGTTCAAAAGGTGCCTTTTCCCAAAGCTGTAATGAGCTTGCTGAAGCTTTAAGCCAGTCATCCTGGTACCTACCATGTTTAAATCTCTTTACCTTAGCACCAGCAGTGGTCTCAAGTAATACAAAGGTAGCAATGGTAACATATACAGCATCTACCTAAAGGCCATGTCATTTTAACGCAATTGAAATGGAGATTCATCATGCTATACGAGGCAGGAGTGCCATATGACTATAGTTCTATCAGCACTACAGTTGATCACGAAAACATCGATTGATCAATGTTCAACCACAAAAATAACTAGGCCTGGAAAGTTTTTTTATCACCTAATCAGTCATACCGTGGTACCGTCTTACAGAAAATTGATAAGAGTTTACAAACCCTATAGTTCATAAACTCATATTTTCTTTATATGAAAGAACCCTAAAAGGTAAAAGTGCTACAGCAATCCACTTACAAACTAGTACCTGTAAGAAAACTAGGAGGGAGGCAACCAGATTAGTCTTGAATAACTGTCTAAACGTGTATTCAGATTGTACTGTACTAATATATTAGTGGAGTGCCGGTTCAATTCCAACTATTGCTTTATAAAAGAAAGTTTAATTAGAGTGCACACCCGACGAGTATGGAAGACGAGGGAAGAACATAAAGCATTGGTCTTATCCTGGAGCTTGGATCGCTATCATTTTCTTGGTTTGGTCGCCTCTGCATTATCTCATCCAACTTTGCTCCATCTACAGCAGTTGGCACCAGTATCAATAGCACCATTGTTGAGTACTGAATTATGCTGAACAACATAAATGTACAGCACATGAACAAGATTTAAACTACCTCTAAGACCGGATAATCCACCAGCGGATGACTGAGCTGGGCTCATTGGTTCTCCCATGGAGCTGGAAGAATCTCTAGATTCACTTGGAGTAGACTCAATGACAGGCCCATCACATATATTTGAACCACCACTGGAGAGACTACGACCTTTGCACCAATCAGCAGCTGACAACGGTCCATCCAAACTCCCAAATGCAGATTTTAAGGATGTTTTAATTTCAGTATGCAGCAGACTAATAACAGAAGACGCGTGAATCTGCAAAAAAAAAAAAAAAAAAAAAAGGTATTGCAATTATGCCAAGGAAATGGGAAAGATTGTCTGTTTAGCCACCATCAGAAAGTGCTTACATTTGCAGCTAGTGGATCTACCAACTCTGTGCCAGCAATGTCCAAGGAATGCGAAGCAGCCAAGGTACCTCCACAGCCTGCATGGACCATAGAAGGGCCACAGCAGAAACCACGCCTCCAATGTTCTTGTAATGCAAGCCAGCCATAAGGACCATCACCACAATCTGAATCTAGAGCCAAGTCAACAGCAGAAGTAGCTTGTTGAATAAGTAAGACCATCCCATCAAGAAGCTCCTGTAGTGGATGCCTTTGCCCATAAGAGAGCATTCCTTCCTCACTAAGCGAATGATGGGATAAGGATGGGCTGACTTCAATACTTGGAGAACTGGTAGGTTTTGTCACTTTCGGACCTCCTACAGTGCGCCAAACACCAACAGGTGCGTTGAGGTGGCTATCTAACACTCCCCGGTCAACATCACCAGCTATTCGGACTGGTATTGTTTCTTTCTTTTTCGTTTCATACCTGCTAGAGATATTGTCTGTCATAGCACTTGCATCACCATGTAACTGATTCAAATTTCCTCCACCTGACCTACTCAAATTTATAGGTACTGGATTAGACGACAATGTATGACGTACCCTACACATCAAAGCTTGGAACAAGATGCATTCAACTTCAGTTGCCAGCACAGTCTTCTTAGAAAGAAGAAAACTGTCTGATCCTAGCACACCTTCATTCACCTTCAGCTGCACGGTCTTGGCAGTGGTTGAAGAACTAAAAGTAGATAAAGAAGATTGTGCAAATCGCTCCCCGGCAACAGTGTTGCCTTCAATCTTGGATGACTTTTTACCATGTTGCTCTCTTCCACCTTCCACATGAGTGTAATATTTCTTTGCATCACTCCTTTCATTACCTGCTTTTGGGGTAGCATGCCTGGTATTCTTCTCATCTGACCCATTGATAGAAGGAGAAAACGGAGGTGTTGCACCATATGTGTAATTGCTTGAATTTGAGTTTGAGCTCTCTACTCTACGAGACTTGGGGCAATATGGACTTCTAAACACTGAAGAAGATACCTCGCTGGTTGCCGTTTCAACTGCTCCATACTCTGGGGCAAATGTCATAAGAGCTTCAGCCTTTATTAAATGATCAAACTCGCCCGTAAAAGAGGGTGGACTGTAGTTTGTTGAGCTTATAGTCATAACACCATGAGTAACATCTTCATTTTTGCTCACACACTCATCCATGGTCATCGAGGGAGTCGGATTAAAGCTCTCAAAGGATGGAAGACCCACAGGCAAAAGCATTTGATCAACATCCATTGACCCTACAGGACTGCTACCAACTTCTCCAATATCTGGAGCTGAAAACATTAGAGCCTCTGACTCTGCAGTTCCAGGGGGCTTCAAAAGGAAAATGGACATCATTAGATGAAAAGGACTTCACAAAAAGTGGCAGAATAGCAAAGGGAAGTCAATCTCAAGATTAGCCAAAACCATTTTGTCCTATTTCTTTGGATATACCACTATGTGTTTAGTCGAAAGTGTAAAAGCAGCAAAAGACTGCGAGAAGGAGAAAAGGAATCCTTGGGCTTCAAGGACTTTTCTATCCATTATGAAGTGTGGCACATTAAGCATTGACTAACACTAAGTACATGAACCAGACAATGGAACATATGTTTAGCCCCTCAGATTTAACAGGGGGAAAAGGGAAATGATAAGTGATAGCTGAAATATTATGAACCCCAATACCCGGATGTCACACAATCTCTCAACAAACAATATGACCAAGGAAACAGGAAACACAGAAGACAACTTTGCTCTAGCCCAGGTGGAGAAGAGCACGAACATACAGAAGAAGCGTCAAACCACTCGACCTTCAGTTACATCAATCAACAAAGGAACATGAAAGGTAGCATGAGAATGCAACACCAGTGACTTTCTTTTCCTTTAAAAACATTATTATTTTTTCCTTTCCAGCACTTTCCGCAAATCAACATCATGCACTTTATCCTATAAGTAACATCATGCATTTATACCCATAAGTAAAACATAAAATAACATGGACGTCTGTGCATGTTCAGCAAAAAGTGCAAAGTGGGAGAATTACCTCTCCAAAAGGTAAAGCATCATTCTCAAAGAAGTCACCAAAGTCACCAAACTCAGAGAGAAGAGCTTGGATATCCATGCCCACGCCTCTCTCGTCATCCCAGTCCCAATGAGATCCATTCTGCTCATTTTCAACTCCAGTAATAACTGATGTGTTAACCTCAAGGGAGCCAAAGTCAGACTTGCTACCTACTTGGCCAAATGACTCCATTCCTGCCCGAGGGCGCTTAGAACCCTGCACATGAAGTCAACTCCCATTCTGAGCCATCCAAGTGCTTGGGGAAAAATAAAGAAATGGGTAAAAGATAGTATTCCCAACAGGCCTGCTTGCCAAAAGCAATAAAGGGTTTTCAGGTTTAAATATTTTGCGTGATAAGCTAACACAGAACTCTGGTAGAAATCAGAACACAATTAGAACCTCTCATGAAAGCAAAACAAACCTCATACCTACATTAAAGTTATCTAGGCGAACATAAGAATGACTTCAGCGGGAGGGGAAGTAATCAGTTGTGTCTAGAAGCAATTAAACAATAGAACTAAATGTTCATAAATAAATAAATGCACAAAATTAACCAGATCATTAGAAACCAATTGAGTTGGTGGAAAAAAGTGCCCCTTTGCTTTAGCCATCTTATCCAGATAGAGGCAGGTATATTTAATGCATTCTCAGCAGCCTAAGTCAAAACTTCTGTTCTTTTTGTCAGACACTTCACTAATTTAGTAGTTGAACTTAGTTGAGATAGCATGTAGATGGAAGTCTATTCTATGCACTTTTAATTCCTCAATTCCGTAAGCAGATAAACCATAGGTCTTTTACAAGTTCCCAGGAATGAGGTAGCAACAGAATGCATTACAGCAGAGGACATTTCGTACAACATAGCTTTACCAGTTTCTGCCGGTCATTCTCCAGCTGATCATTAGAAGACAAACCGGATCGCCTGCATGACAAAGAATCTGCATCTGCATCGAGATCCCCACCTTCTGCGGCCATATTATAATCACTATCACTGGAACTGCTGCTAAGTGAGCTGATGCTGCTATTGTTACTGTTGCTACTACTATTGTAGCCATGATGTGTAAGTGTTCCACCAGAGTCGAGCCAACAACTGTCTGCGCTGTCTATATTACCCCCACTGGTAGCAAAAGTAAGAAAGAGAATTCAAGTCTCATTCTCAGAAAAATAACAGTAACATGAGAAAAAGTTGCTTTGTAGTTAAAAATGATATTCCTAACATGCTTAGAGACAAGAAAAGAAGTCTATCATGGTAAATAGATGCAGGGACATCTTTGTGCTTGTGTAGAGGAGGAAGCCAATCATTTCCAACATGTGTATATTTCTTTCAGAAATATACTGTCATCCCTCATACCGCAATTTTGTGAAGAATGCAAGAGCAAAAGGCCATCATAAAGATAAATCGAAAACATCAAAACAAAGAGTTGGATGGACAGTAGCCATCGAATATACAAAAGAGACAAAGCCTACGGTGGATCATCGACTAGGCCATGTATGCTTTTGCACAATAGTTTGTTGAGCTGCCACGAAAAAAGACCTAATAGATGTTCTTCTACCAAAGGTTCTGCCTTGTTGGGACAGCATTCATCAACTTCTACATCCAACTTCAAGTTTGAGGGTTTACGCATTGCCATAAAGATTAGCTCTTCCAACAGCAAACTGTTGTGCCATAGTTATAGAAGAACAAAAGGTTCCTAAGTATTCTTCTTCGTTCCTGATATATCCTATACCATAAATTTGGTCACTTTCTCCAAATTCAAAAGGCAAAGAATCCCAAGGCTGGATAAAACCAGAACGAACACCTTGCCTATAAGGCTTACACTCACCCAAAGGACTATTCTACACTTGGCTGCACAAATAAGGTCAAGGCAATGTTCAATCACTGTTAATAGTCAACATTCTTATGCAACTTAATTTCCTCCAGCTGTTTGCTTTTACTATTGACAAATAATATTAGCAGCGACAATTTGTGCATCATCTTGGTACAAATTGCTACAAATAAACATCTGTTCTCTTCAGGCAGACTTAGATAGTATACAATCATTACATATATGTAAAATAGAAAACAGGCCATGTTTTAATCAACCAACTGTAGTTCTTTAAAGTTACATAGCAACACAGTACAATATGACTGGTGATTCTCTTTATTAGAAAAATGAGTACGAAGAAAGCATGAACTAACCTATGCATAAAGAAAGCTGCACCGGACATTGATGGCCCTGTCCAGTTTTGTAACCAAAATCTGCAATAAATGGTTGTGAATCATGATTAGGTTAACCCTTCTAAAAACAAAATACAAAATCAAACAACAAAATCCTACCCTAAGGCTCCAGAAACTTAATTACTGGCCACTAAAAACTGCATCTATAGAAAAAGCTCCCTTACTCTGCTCTGAAATGAACTGTAACAAGAACCTGCCCACCATCATACAACAGTGATTACACCCTGAGAGCAAAGTTATCATTACCAAGACTACAGCTCAGCTTGATTCAATTCCCCAGTTGGTACCTTCACTTGGTATAATAACCAACCTCCAATATATACCTTTAAATTTTAAATTGAAATTGACTCCGCCTTACTTTATACTTTCCCTTCTACTATTTGCTCATATTTACAATTTCTGCAATAGGTGTCCCACTTGTTGAATCAGACGGAGCCTATGGCTTTGTAAGTTGAAAACCACATAAGTTCAAGATAATCAAGCTTAGTGGACGACACGAGTGTATTCATGTGGACATGAGTACAATTAAGATGAATTCTGTTTCTCCCATTTTCTTCTTTAGTTGATAGTTGTTGATGAACTACAAAAGAAGAACTCCTAAAACTAGGAAAGCCTTGCTAAATATTAAAAGTAAAATTCATAGCTTACTTTAGAAGAAAATATAGCTACTTATTACAACTATGACATCCAAACCAATCCAAATAACGAAACAGAGACAAAGATCTAGACAATATACCTTCTGAGAGAAGACCGAGCAAATGAGGTGTGTAAGAGAGGGACAGCAACAGCGTCGACCGGATAGATGAATATCTTCTCGTTTGCTGAGAGGTAGTCTTGCAAACCACTGTGATCACCTCGTGCTGTGGCCGGAGATTCCATGACATGATTCTTCTGTAGACTGCTACCTGCACCCAACTTTGTTTGCAATGCCTTACCACTCTCAGATCTTGGGCAACCAAGTGTAACTTCCACGCACGAATGCTGCCCCCTCAACTGGAATGCAGGCCCTTGTGAAACATCCTTCAATGAACCAATTATACCATCCAGCATCCTAGAGTTGCCAGAACTATTAAGAGAGAGCGCAATACAAGCAAATAGGTCACTGCTAATCAAACAATAACTAATGGTGCAAAATGCACATAAGTCCATCCAAAGAACACAAAGATACAGTATGCAGTACGTATAAGCTACCTTGCATAAACTTGCTTGACGAGATCATTTGGGCAACATCCTGTTACCCAGCCACGCATTCCATGAGGAGAAACGATAACTGCAAGAAACAAACAATGTATGAAACAAAAAGGACAGCAACAAACAAACTACAAATTTAGTTTGGGCCAAGGAAAGAATGGTGCTGGACTCCTATGGTTGAAATAGTAACACATCAAGCAAGCAGATAATTCAATAGGAAGTAACAATGCCAAAAACTAACTGCCTCAATCTACCAACAAAACCAGCAACCAGGTTGAACAGGAGGTGGGAGTGAATGAAGCTGGTTATACAATACCAGTCCATGTCTTAGAGAAGGTAACGATACCGAATAACTGAATTGGAGGGTATTATACTGCCTCTAGATAATGTTTACCAAATTTCATTTTTGAACAAAGCAAGCTACTAAACTTCATTTCAAACAAAGATAATCTAAGCACAATGATATGCTAATGCTAATGCTAATGCTAATGAGAGGAAAGAAAAAATCTTCCTTAGAAATATATTATTGCTTCACTAAAAGAGATCAGCATGCAATATACTGATCCTCTTATTGTGGACCCGAAAAGAATGGAAAGGTAAGCAATAAAACGTTTATAAATTATTTTCTCTCAACCAAACATGGCCGAGAAAGAGAATCAGATTTCTAACACACGCCTCATAATTAAGACTTGCTTCCACCGACACACGATTCTGGCAACACCTGTGCAGACTGAAGTATGCATGCTAGCATGGAATTGGAGACCCCCATTAATCAGAGATGAAACCGACCTGGAAGTTTATTGCCAGAATCTTTAGATGAGTGCTTCAAGACCCTATCAATGTCACTTGCTGAAAGCATGCGAATGTGCCTAAAATATACAACAAAATGAAAAAAAAAATGGTGCTGAATCCAAACTGCAAAGCAAAAGCAGCAAGTAAGAAAGGACAAGTAGAAGAAACATGATGTGAATTTCACCAACTTGGCAGTTATTATAGCATGAACAAAAATTGCTTCATCGGTGGCCGCAAAGATGAATTCGACAGTAGGTTGTCCTCTCCTGAAGAAGCAGCAAAAGAAATATATCAGCTCCAGGAGAAATTTTAAATTGTATAAATAAGTAAACCGGAAATAAAAGCCGGAAATGAACAACAGTCATTACTCGCAGATGTAAACTAAATGATGGAGAAGGGAGGTCCAGTGGGAACAGTTATTGTTGCCACAAGCAGACGCACTGCAGTTATCACTAAACAGAAAAAGAAAAGTACATTCCATTTGCAAAAGCAACCATAAAACTAGGAATTGATCACTTATAGATTAACAGTGCTAGTCCGATAATGCCCCTGGACACTTTTGGAATGTGGTACCAAAATTTTTCTTCCACTCTTTCAGCATCTTAGTTAAATGTTTCTAAAAAGCAAATGGAATTGCAGAATGATGCAACTCAATCACATCTAATATGATTCGCACTACACCATGCAATCTAAAGCAATGAAGTCATTTACATCAGCCGATACTTCTCTCAACTGATGCAGACATGGTGCAGATGCCAAAATCAGGATCGAGAGCACTGCATGTCAAAAACCCCATTTCACATTCATTGCGCATGGTACTGAACGGACCTCACTTCAGCTAATGGATCGTTGATCCCGTTAGCTAGAGCTTCTGGATGTGACCCTGGTAACGCAAAAACTTCATAATGAACTCAGATGGGACCAGTTTTGGTTGGACACAACCGACAGATATTTGATTCACATGCAGGAAATAACGTCCTTTAAATTTTCTACTAAAATATGAAATATTGACATCGTGAATTATATGTCCCTTGACTAATAAAGGAAGTTCTAAGCAGGTAGGAGCTGAATCAAAGGCGTACTTGTCACTCACGATTAACTCGAGCCCAGTTTCTGACCAGATGAGCTTCAAAGCGGTTGTTGCATCAACAGAGTTCGATCTAAGATAATTTTGGAGGACATCATCCAAAGCACGTTACCCATTGTTGCACTTACATACTAGAAGAAAAACCCAAATCCCATTATTACTTTGTCCTTCTGTCAGAAATGTGTTCAGGATATTTCCCAAGTCGTAAGAGTTCCAAAAGAAACCAGTTACTGTGGAAGCAAATTTGTTTGATACGGATGTCATGTGACTCATTCATACCCCACCAACTATTAACCTTGGAAAACTTCATTTGGTTTTCAGTTCAGTTAATCATACGAAGCAAATACCAGCAGGAAAGCACTGACACTATGCGGTCACTAGATTCAGAGAAGAGTATCACTCATGCAACTAAAAGACTTTTAGTATTAAACTGAACATATTCAGTAAGATTGACCAACATTTAAAGGGCCTTTTCCTTACCTGTACAGTGCTTCAGTTTGGCCTGGACGATGCTTTGAAAACACATCTCCAAATCGCACGTAAGAAAGTCCAAAAAGTGCCCTGAAAAATCCACCCAGAAGCTATTAAGAAACTCGTTACATCTCTAGTTCGAGCTTTCCAAAATTCTGAAGGGCAGAAGGCTTACTTTTCTATGCTATTCCTTAAAGATTGAGAAAGAGCAGCAGCAACCTCTTCAGAATCCCCAGGGGCTACCCAGATTCCAGATGCAACAACTTCAAGAAAGAAAAAAGAAAGATGATATACAGGATACAAACTTATTATCCAGCAATGGTGTCATAAAAGAGGACCATAGGGCTGTATAAGTACATTTGAGTTTAAGTGCAAAAAGCCATGCATTGTAAGAAAAGTCTACATATACAAACTTTTAAGTCAAGATGATGCTGTAAAAGATGTAGGTATGAGAATCTTTTGATGGAAACACTACCGAGTGTAAGCACTCGAGACTGCAATATTCTCTCCCAAAGACAAAGTTTGGACCAACCATTGTTCGATCTACTAGAAGATGTTTTGAACTTTGATAAACATTCTTTAGTTTCCATGAGTCTTAAACATCGATAGTTTTGTCAATAAGGATGGACATATTTACCTCTTCAAAGAGAAAGATTAAATGGCATACTTTGAAGGAAAATTACATAAAGTTACCTCTTAGTTTAAAAACTGCTGACTGAGCTCTCTCGGCAACAGAAGAATGGCGCCCAGGAAGAAAAAGCCAAAGCTTGATTTTCTCATCTATTAACAAACGTTGACAAATATCGGTCAGACAGTTCTGAATCGATAAATTATGACATAGCAAGTACATAGCTACCAGTTTTTCTTACCAGGATTATGTAAACCTTGAGATGGATCCCAAGGTCCAACAAAAGAATTAGTCCATGTACTGAGAAATCCCTCCTTCTGCAGCTGCAAATGGGATGAAAGCACCAGCCGTGTAGCAGCATCTTTTTGATCCATTTTTACACTGTCCAATACACCAGTTATATACAGAAATATGAATCTATATTATTCAAACTGTAAGGATATTACATGCAACGGCATCGCTCTTCCTTTATAGGCAGAAGGGAAATCGCCAGAATGTAACCATTCTAACCTCTTATCAGATACGGAGTTCAACTCAGCTTCATTGGGAAGAAACTGGAACCATGATACATTTTGAAGACCTCCCTGAAAAATTAGTCAAACATTTAGTGCAGAAAAAGTAACATACTTGACCGACGAAACTACTTTTAAGCAGAACCAACAAGCAAATACTAAGAAAACCAACAACAGCAGCGATGGTGGCCAATCTAATATCATAATTCAGCAGAAACGTGGATTCAATAAATCAAGTCACAAGGCGGCAACCTGGACAAGGCAATTTTTGTTACAATGTCCCAACAGCTAATCCTATTTTCTATTCATAATGTTGGTTTCTATTGACCTTCAGAGTTTAAATTAAGAACCTTCCGAGCTTCAAAGTTTAATGGGCTGAACATAAACAGAAACGAAGCCTCGTAATGTAGAGGACTCCAGTCTCTGAAGCAAAACAAAAAAAATTCACAACCTTGTGTCCTCATCATTCTCATGATTCTCTAAACATTATCCAATTCAGTTGCCTAAAGTGGATTACTAGCCTGAACCGGCCATGATCACAACTATCTAATAATGACAAGTAAGAGAGGAACAGAAACCAAATCATTAAACAAGGTCAGATTCAATGCAGTAGGAGCTGAGCAACAGTTCTCAGAGACATATTTGGAAGTAAAGTCAACGTACGATTCGAAAAACGTTTGTCCACATAATGCCACTGTGGAAATGCTGCAGCCTCTTGATTTCCCCCAGCCACTTTACAGACCGAAGCACGTAAACAATGCCTTGCTCAGCAATTCACTGCACCAGTAGACAATCGTTAGGACGAGATCTCAGATGACAGATAAGGAATCAACATCAACTCACTTCAATCACGAATTCTCTTCATTTGAAAGTTGACTGCCAGTGAAGCTAGCAAAATGAAGGTTTCCAACACTCTTTCAACCAAATTTTTCACACTCACAGCAAAAGCAAATGGCGGAATCTCGATAACCTATCATAATTATAGCCACACTAGGGGCCCTAAATTTTCATTAACACAGCTCAGCCAGACGAAATTGCTACTCTATTTACTGACAAACCCTAATGGAGCAACGAGAAAATCCTCACCTGCTCTTGCCGCGAGACATGCGTCGGCTGTTCTTCGTCTGCTGCCTACTCCGGCGAACAAACCGGGCAGCCGTCCGGCCTCTCCGCGATCTGTAGGAAACTTGGGGTGCGGCGGTTTAGGCAGCAAAGTTAAGCGAATAAAGATGGGAAGACTTCGAGCTGCGCGGAAGTGAAACGAAGAACCAGAAATCGAGCGCGGAATTGGTAATTCTAAAGAGGACAGAGTTTCAGACTTTTGAGAAGAGGAACTCCGAGATGGTCTTTGGTCCCTGTGGGAAACAGAGGCTTGTCGGGGGACTAGTTACGGCGGCTGATTCTGCGGGTGTAAAGTCTGATCGGACCGGACCGTTCAACCGGGAAAACTTCCCGAATCCGGACTTCTATGATCTGTAGTAATTAAGGGTAATTATCCAAACTGGTCACGTAACTTTGGCTACTATGACAAAAATGGCAAGATTTCTTTTGTTTTTCCAAATCTGTGATGTAATTTCGAAAAACTTGCGACAAATCGATCATTCTAGTCGATCGGTATTCAAAATTTTGTCAAATTTTACTCTTCTAGCTTATAAAATTTTAAATCTATAGGAGGTTACAAGAATTACAGCAAAAATAGAAATTAGATGCCACCTATGCCAATTGACCGAAGTCAGAGGCAATTCACACCTCGTTCTGAAAGGAAAGTTGGCCATCTTAAGAATTTATGGATTTCCATGATAATTATCCTAAATAGCTACTCAATTTTGGCCGTTGTATCGAAAAAGATCAAAGAGTTTCAACTTTTTTCTTCAAAATGATCATTAATTTTGAACTTATCGTAAAATAATTGGGACTTGTTAGAGATAGTATTAGCACCATGCTAACCAACCTCGTCGTCGTCCATTACTTTTAAGTTAATTAGACGGTGAGAAACAACGAGTGACTTCTTTGAAATCTGTCCACAACTACATTGCTATGTAGATGGGGCAGTGGTAGGAGGCTCTTATGATGCAGGGGGATTAGTGGTGAAGGATGTAATGAGAAACATTGTATATGTCAAGGGATTTTATTATGTAGGGCTGCAGGATCCTTTCTGTATTGAGTTGGTGACGTTTAGGGACGCAATTCAGTGGTGCCTCTGAAGGGTCTAATTGAAGTAGCTTTTCGTGGAGATACACGGGCGTTATCGACAAAATTCAAGGATTGGATTCGTAGGATAGTGGGGTGGAAGGATTCGGGTGGAAATTGCAAGTCTTTGTCAGCAGTATCATACCTTCGGCATTTCTTTAGTTGGCAAGCTTAATAACCGGGTGGCCCATGTTGTGGCTAGAAAGTCACTTTCTTTGTTACTTGTGAATGTAGATAGTTTTGATTTTTGAAAATGATCTTTATTTGAGTTGTAAACCATGGTATCTTTCTTTCCTTGGTAATACAAGTGAGCTATTGACAAAAAAAAAATCCAATACACTATAATCAATTCTCATATCCAACAAGCAAACAAACAATTTCTAAAATTCAACACAAATCCAAAATAACAAAACTGAACATAATCCAAAAATCCCAAAATTTACTCAAATCCTTCATTTGTGAGAATTTCATAAGCAAACAACCCCTTAATTTCTAAATCAACCTTCCGAGAATTTGAAATGCTAATCCTTCTGTAACTTGTGTCTCTCAAAATCCTCAAATTAAAATTACTTAAATTTATACTTGTGCATCTAATAAATCATATTTTCTTAATGGAAGCTTGGTAGATTTCATTTAATTAATCATCAAAGACAGACTGGACTTTATCATCCTCCAAAATTGGATACAAAGAGAGTGACGGTAGTTAGCCCACACATAACAATGGTCCCACAACACAGAATGATAGGGGGAAAGGGCTACATAATTTCCTTTTCTCGGGATAAAATTTCAATGAAGCCAAGTGCCAAAAAAAGGGAAATTAACTTCCTTCATCTAATTGATAAGCCTACAAAAAACACCCAGTTCTAGCTTATCCTCCTCCTTCTGCAATTTCAGAATTAAACCTTGACAATTCGAATCAACATTGATAGAGCTCATGGATAATCTATCGCATCGCATAATCACATGAAAATGGCTCTGTCCTCCGCCTCAATTACTCTGCAAAATCCCTTTTTCATTTCTCACCACTGCTACGCGAAAGTCCTTTCTAGTCACGAATAACACATTCCAACCAATCCCTTTGGCTTGAGAATACTGGCATAAGATTTGATATTGAACACATCGGCTGAAGGTGACTCCCAACTCGGAGCGTTGGGTTTGGGTTTGGGACATGCAATGACAGAGTCTAAGCTTTAACATAGTCTGCAACCAAGTTAGAGCTTTTGGGATGATCTCATGTTACTCCATTTTCTCGTTGTAAACAAATGATTGCATCTCTCCTTCCATATGAACCATACGATGGCACTAAAATGTGGGGTTTCTCTGTAGGGCACGATTCTACGATATGATCCTCTCTTGGCTCAAAGAGATCACCATCCATGTTAGGGTGCCATAATCTCCTAGTCCACTCGCACTCCCTCAGGCAATGCATCTCTATCTCCGACAAGTTACGGGAAACAGACAATTTGGGCTAGTTTTCTCTTAGTGGTTTTCAGATTAACACCAACATGTAAGATTCCTCAACATAGTTTCCATAATAGAAACTATACCTTAGGCTGGTACGGAGTGACCATAGCTGCATTCAGAAATCGCTATTAGGAGGATTGTTATTATGCCTTTTGTCAATCACTTCATCTAGGATATTCCATATTATCTAGTGGGCAGTTTTATAAGAGCAAATCCCATTATCAACATGAATTCAGACCATTTCGTCCTCCTGTAAGAGATTTTGAAGAGGGATATTCGACATGACTATTATGGGGTCGTTTGCTTCATGGATTTTAAAATTAGGCTTTTGTCTATATTGTTGGATTTAAAAACCTAAAGATTTATTAGGGATTTGTGGCATATGGGATTTGAATAAATCTTTTGTTTGTTGAGGTGTTTTGGTATTGGATCTAAGGGTTTTAGATTTATAACTTAAGAAACTAATTTACCTTATTATCCTTTTATATTAAGACTTACTTAAATTAACATAGTACAATGTATTAATAATAAAAATATACATACATTTTTCTAACTAAAATAATAATTACTCACTCAATAACTATCGGTTGACATCTCTTTAAACAATAATTACTATGTAAATCTCATCAAATTAGGGGGGAACACTTTGGTCAAGTCATGGCAGTACCGATTGAGATAACTTTGTGTCAATTTAGTCATAATATAACATATGTTTAGGAGAGTGATGCAATATTATGAAATTATATATAAATTCTTACGATGTCACGTGTAAATCAAATTCTACGTTGTATGATTACGTGATTGTCCAGCGATACAACCTTGATGTGCTGCATTACGAGGGCAAAAAGTTGCTTTGTAATTGCAGGGAAACAAAATTGACAGTAGGAAAATATAATACAAAGAGGACTTGGAATAATAAATCTTTCTCAATGATAAAATCAACCTTAGCTTCAGGAACCATATTTGTAGGCGGGGGACACTGACAAAATAATCTTGTCCCCATGGCCAGAAGTCACTCCAAATGCATTTTTAGTGTCATCGCCAACTCTCTAGCATAAACCATAAGCCAATGCAGCTTTTGCAGCCATAAGACTCCTCCAAACATAGTTTGCGTTGGACCCCACTTTGGTTTGAAGGATGTCAGTGTTATGAAAATACTTTGCCTTGAGGGTTCTTGTCATAATATAAGAGGGTCAAGATAAGAAGTTATAATTTTTCATGCCCAACATTGCCAAGTTAACAGTATGAAGATCATTGAAGCTCATTCCTCCTTCATTTTTACCGTTGTTATCACACATTATGTCTCATTTAATCCATGGGACTTTGATTTCTTCCCCCTTACCCCACCGGAACCACATGATATAATTTTGAATTTCCTCCATGATCCCATCAGGTATCTTAAAACCCATCATAGGATGGATAAGTTGCGATTGAGCTATGAATTGATCATGATCTCTTTACCGACATCAGAGAGTGTTTATCCTTTCCAATCTTTAAAAATTTTCTAACTCTTTCCTCCATTTCAACAAAATCGTCATTTTATACTTACCAACAAGGGTGTGTATACCCAAGTATTTTTTGTGTTTGTCAACCTCCACAATTTCAAGAATTTCGCATATCTCCAACTTTCTACTATTCTTTACATTCAAGATAAAAGATATTTTGGACTTAGAGAGATTAATACATTGTTCATACACCTTTTCATAGGTCTTCAAAATAGCTTTTAAGCTATCACAATATTCAAGTATAGCTCTACCAAAAATGATATTGTCATCTTTAATCCATACAAAAGAAGAAGAAGAGTGATAGGGGATCTCCTTGATGGAATCCCTTAGAAGGTTTGAACTCGGCAAACTTTTGCCCGTTAACAAGTAATGAGTACATTATAGAATTTACACACATCATGACCATGTATATCCATCTATCCTCGAAGCCCATCTTCCTCATTCCATTTTCAAGAAATTTTAATTCAACCCAATCATAGGCATTGGTCATGTCCAGTTTGGCATCAAAGAAGCCACACTTTACTTCGTCTTCTTCTTTAGGTATTTAGGAACGAGAACAATAAGGGTATGATGGAACATCAAACTATCATATTTTTTAATCAGGAATTTTGTGTTTTAAAGTATTGAATGATGTTTTAATGGCCTAAAATATTCATATGACCTACAACTGAGAGTTATGGGAGTTTGGTAAGAGTAATAGGATGTGTTGGAAGATCCTCTAGGTCAGAGCCTCCAAATATATATGTCTAATTAATATAGATTAGACAAAATGAAAATATTAATTTGAAGTCATTTAATTAGAATCACCCAACAATTCATGAATATGCATTAATAAGAATTTCATTAATTATTTTATTCTACGACTTTCATTCTAGGCTTCAAATATTTGGGCATCCACCATTTGTTCAACTAAAATGAATTAGCTCTTACCATTTACCAAAAAAAGGTTGATATGGAGTCATAATTAGAACTAGCTAACAATAGTCTAGGAAGAGAAACTCATTCCTTGATTCCATGGACTTTATTCTAGACCTCCACCATAAGTCCAATTGATTTAAACTAAACTTGTATTGAAGACTTCTGGAATATCTTATTTTACTTCAAATAATAATAAAAAATTATAAATTATAATGTAAAGTAATGATGTTATGTTTGTTATTCATTAGTAAATGCTATGATTTTTATTTTGTTATACTAAAAAAATTGATATCATCCTATTTATGGAACAAGGTCTTCAAAATTCATTGAACGACCCTTGTTTTGTTGTC